TCTGTTACAAGTTTTACTGGCATTTGTTCTGAGCGAGGCTTCCCAAGAGCATGAAACAAACTCCTTGTCCCAACCCCCCCCAAAAATTTTTTATTAATTTACTGTGAATTCTGCTCATTCACATCAAGCAAAGTCTTTCAAAGGAGGATTTACAGTCACAGACCTTATCTGGCTTGAAGAGCTGAGAGTGAGAGGTCGATATCTGCAAAAGTTGGCAAGGAGTCTCGGAGAGTCAGGAACCAATTAAGAGAACTAATTGTCTCCTGCAAATTCTACTCCCCTTTCACTCCTTTTATTTCCTCTGGAAGGGGCCATTCATTGTCCACCTTACTTCGAAGTCGACCCCTGTTCTTTAACAGTTCCCTTCGTCTGGCCACTCTGCCCATGTGCACACTTGGAACAGGCTCCCAACTGGTTGTCTGCTTCACCGATGTCTGATTCCGAAGGCAGCTGATAACTGGCATACGGCTCTGGCCCCCTCTCTGCCTCCGACACAGAGTCCTCATCAGAACCTTCCCCAGATTCCAGGACTGGCCCATGTTCTCCCCAACCTCCTCATTGTCCGAATCTGCTGCCAGCTATGCTGGTGTGCCACAACAGCGTTATTAAAGGAACTCTTAACTGTGATTAGATATAAGATATTGTAACATAATCCATAGCTTATTAGAACTGAATGCCAATACATCACCCTGATTTAATTCCTTGGATTTCCAAGTACTGTATGCCAGAATTGGTAAAATATCATTTGTTAAAAATTAGAAAATAATGCTAATAGTTGCAGCTTAAATTATGAAGCAATCACTCACCTTAAAGCACTTCAACTTAATATTTTAAGTTGTAAATATGCTTTTCCAACTTGGACATTCTTGCCACATTGTATATCTGTGTATCAAATTAAGAGGGTCATCAGACCACTAGTTAAGATTACACTACAAATTTAAACCAGTACAAAACCCATTGGGGTACCTTAACTCTTGCAAAAGAATATTGTTAATTGTTCTGTCAGAATGCTATTTCTACATTTAAAAATCTACTAGTTATAAAATGACTCCCAGAATTCTGTGACTGCAAGTGATGAATACATGAAGTTTAAAATAATTGTAAGTCTATAATATAGATTCAAAATGCTCTGTAATATATTTAAACTAGCAGAGATTTGCCGTAGCTAAAAGCTGTTAAACTTTTCTCACTGTAATTGACAAAACGAGAACATTTTATTATGATTTGGTCAGCAGTCTGGCAGTGACTTCCAACTAAAAACTTTCATTAAAAGGCATAGACCTTTTTGAATTGAGAGGCCCTTGGTTCTCTCTGAGCTTGCTTGTTTTCTTGAAGATGTTTCATTAATCAAACTGAGAAACATCACCAGTGCTAATGATTTAAACGAGGTAACATCATCCAGAATGGTCCAGAATGCGGCTGCGCGGGTTGTCATGGGGGCACACAGGTACTCCCATGTTACACCCCTTTTAGGCGGCCTGCACTGGTTGCCAGTTGTCTTCCGGGTGCAATTCAAGGTACTAATTATGACCTTTAAAGTGTCACAACCCCTGGAAGCATACTGCTTCCCTTTTTTGTCTTTCGGATCACCCTAGGAGCTATCCAGGCAGAAAGCCATTTTTTTTATGGTGCCTTTGCTACATTTGTGTTGCATTT